TAATAAAATGCAAAATTAGATGTTTAATGCCACTTAAAACCATGATCCTAAATTATTATTTTATAATACTGTCCTATATGCCTGATTTTTTAATACCTTTGCCCTTTACTATGTAGAAAACTTTCACAGCAGGTATGTTCCTATTTTTGTTTTTTTTTTTTTTCTTTCCTGGCTGTATCATCTTCAACTCTTTTTTCTTGTCTTGTTTGAATTTCATCTTGCACTTTTAAATGTCTTTTCCTTCTTTATGGTGGGAGGGGAAAAAGAGAAGAAGCAGAAGCTACATTTTCATTGCTTTTGGAGCTAAATCTAATGACAGCTGTACCGACAATTTTCTTCTGTGTTTACATGCAGCCAGGAGCTATGGGCGGAGAAGAGGTAAAAGTATTTACTAAATGTTTTGTTTGCTGAATAGTGAGAGAAATAAATATTTAGTTTTTTTGTGATAAGATGATGTTACCAATTTTAACAGTATTTAGTTGATCAATTGCTTTGTATAAATCAGTCTCATATTCTTCCCTTGCAAAACAGCTCCCTTCTAACAGCATCTTAAAGCAATGATGATCCTGAGCTGATAATTTCGTGTTGCTGTTACTTGAGAACTGGAGGATGACTGAATGTAAAGACTCTCATGACACATATTTGTGACTTGAAGTGCAGTGTACAAAAAAAGATCAGTTTTGGGTTTGTTTGGTGTTTGTTTGTTTTGTATTGTAGTGCAGTGTTTAACTGCTGCATTGAACATTTGAAAATTACTTTTTTTCTTACATGAAACAGCTTTTGCTGAATATTAGACTTCATGACATTGAATTGCCTCAGATAGTACACGTAAATACCAATACTAGTAACTGTCCTCAACAGTGAACATTGACAATAATTTTGAAAAGATACAGTATTTGAGCACATTTTAACAGCATTTCATCATAGACAACTCTCAAAGCAAAAGCAACATTGATAAATGTTCAGTGCTGCATATCAGTTTATTCTGAGAGACAAATGAAAAAGGACAATAGCAAATCCAATAGCTGTACCAAGCAAGCCACTAATGGAGCTTACAATTATGTCCTGTGCTGTACCTTACACAGACTGGTTGTTATTGAGAAGATAACAGTGAAAATAGCAGCTTTTAACAATTACATTTTAGGCAGTGTCACTTGCATGGAGTACTTTAGCATTAAACTTAATTTTATCTTCCTTTCCATGAAGTTCTCTGCCAGTTATGCAGGTGACATTGCCTCCTTTTCCAAATGTATAATTTGCATCATGTTTGTGAAGAACCTTAGAGGCAGATGTATCCATTACCCAGACCAATAGTGTCTAAGGGCTTGTAATTTGTATGGATTGAGGTGGTAGGCTGTACAGACCATACTAACACAGCTTGTAATAAAGAATTTGCTCTGATTTTGTTCCAAGCTGACTCATTTTAGTGTTTATTTGATAGCTAAATCTGAAACAAAATATTCAAATTTTCCTCACAAACTTACCTTCCTGTTTTTTCCCACCTGAAGAGATCAGGCTACTGTTAACAGATGTTGAAAGCATTCTAATACTTAGATTTTTTCAGTGCTTTCTTCATACTGAATGAAAACAGGAAGTATGTGGAGTATACAGTAAGGTATACCCTCTGTGCACATGAACACTGTTTAATTTTATTTTAAGATTGAGGTGTTTCCAGATTGATCAAAAGGCACAAAAGTAGGAAAGGAGGTAGGAATCAGTAGGATACTATACATTACTTGCAATTTGTGTTTACTTGTAGAAGCAAAATACAGTAATGCAGAAGTAGTTGTGATGAATGTTATTTAGGCTGTTTTATACAAATTTTAGCAGAGACAAAACAGGCAAACAAGTTCTGAATGTGCTGGCTTTTCATATTTATTTTTTTTTCCTCACTACCAAGAAGCATGTTTCATTCCACAAGACTTGTTTCCTCTGTGAAATGCAGGCTTTTCCATATTAACAAGTAGATTTGTGTGTTTGTGTGTCTACCATTAATACCATTAATGTTAGGGATTTTGACTTGCCTCATTCATATTAAAGTCTGTGATGTTCATGCTTTATCATTACCTTGACTTTTATAATGTTGGTTCTGAGCTTTCTTAAGCATGAAATTCTACAACAGTCTGTTAAAAAATGTGTTGGATATAAAATATTCTCATATATCCTTCTCTATATTGCTTTTACCATTTGCATTGGGATAATATGCAGAGTAACCACAGGCAAGTCTGTGCAAAAACTATTTTATGTTTGTTATACTTGGATATTTTAATTAGTGTTTGATTTTGTCACTGTGACTAAGCATCTTCAGTGAGAAGAGGTTTTGTCGGACATTTCTTGAGGCTTGCTATAAACTCTCAGTTCTCTACTTGATTCTCTGTTTTATTTAAGAGATAAGCATGTCTTTGTAGGTATTACGTCTGGAGCTGTTGAATCATGTTCTTGGTACCTTGTTTTTTAACTTTTACAACCAGTTTTTCAGGTACAGATGTAAGCACCGCTGTGATAATCAGCCCAAACTATTCTGCTACACTGACAGCTCAGAGATGCCCAGGCAGGGGTACAGGAGTATTTTACAAAAAAAGTGCATTTAGTGATGCTTTCCTGCTTTCCCATAATGCTTTCCCTGAAATTTGCCCTGGGGGGTCTCTTGAGGTGGTGTTTTAATATTTATTGCTTTCGATTGCATTTTCTCCTGTTCTTACTCATTCCCTTTTGTAAGCCTACATAAATTTTTCAACATCCCAAAAAGTCTGTAGCAAGGATTTCCAAAGTTTGCCTTGCTTTCTGCCTTGGCATGTACTGATTGTATTCAATGCAGTTTATTTTTGCCTTACTGGAGGGGAGACCGTGAACAGTCATTCCCTATTCCCTTGTCTTTATACTTTCCATGATTTTAAATTTATTCTTACATTTAGCTCTATACTTAGCTATAAACTTATAGAATATCTTTTGCATTGATTTAAGATGAGTGCAGTGCTTATAGACTGCCAAGTGTCTGGCATGGTGCTTAGAGGTGATACCTTGCTTTCGAAGTTGCTGTGAATTTTTATTACTTCCTTCAGAAATCAGTCTCTTCTGCATTTTAGTTGAACACCTTGTTATTCATTTGATATGTCATCTTCCACTAATGGTTCATGTTTGTTGTTTGTTTACTTATTTGTTTACAAGAAGGTAGGTTGATGGGCAGGAATTAAAAGATGATTTATCTCTTCAGTAATGTCAATCTCTGAGATATTTTCAGATTTCCTGCTTTTCAATGAGTGTTCTGACTGGGTATTTTTACACGGTTGTAGTATTCTCAATTATTTTTTCTCTCATGCAAATGTTTTCTTTCATATTGAAATGCATATGTTTATACATGTGCATGACCTGTTTGTCCATTAATGGAATATTCATCAAAAGTCTTTCCTGCTTTTTGCTCTAAACCCACCATTACTGACTGCAAGTCTTTGGTAGCATCTCTACATCCTTCTCTGATTGTGGCATTTACCTGTTTTTTTATGTTGATGTGTAAATAAATGGTAGGATTTTTGCTTCAGTGGATTTTTGTGTCTGTGATCTCTGTCAGTGTTTAACATTCAATATATTCTTTTTAATCAACACTTTTCTAGTGCCTGATGTTTGTAAAAAAAAAATCAGGTTTGTGTTGTGTATCAGTGAGAGCATCCTTCCTGAGTTTGTTAGCTTGTTTTCCATATACAGGATTACTGCTTCTTTTTGTAATCTGTCCTTTGCTACTGGAAACAATTACTGATATTTTCAGTGTATATGTTTTTCTGACTGCTGTCCCTCTGTCTTGATTTTACTCATTGCCCCTGTTTTTATTTCCTGCACTTCCCAGTGGTGTTAATACCAGTATGGTATTAATACTTAGGTCTTGCTATGTCAATTTCATGTGATCCATTACCTTTCAATTTAATTATGAGCACTTACAAAAGTATAAATACATTTATATTTGTAATCAACCCCCCTATAAACTGTTTGTATCAATTATAATTCCATCTCTGGGAGCCATCCTCCATGGTATTAGGGTACAAGTAGCTTTTTCAGAGTTGAGGTGTGGTTCCTATTTAATATATCTCTCTACTATTGCAGGATGTATTTTTCAACTCAGGTATAGGGAAGTGCTAAATTCCAAAGTTGGCAAGGGTTGCTTATATGCAGTCTTTGAATACTTTATCTTCCTTATTAATAAATCTGTTCTTAAGGTAATGTTTGTATACTTTGTTAGTAATAGCAACAAATTAATCACATCAGATGGTTACAAATAAATTCTTTCCTTTTCATTACCAAACTGAGGAGCGGCCATTCAAGTTGATTTTGCTCATTCATTACTAAAAGGATATTTTAACTCTGAGTAACAAAGTTCTAACTGTTCTAACTAACAATATTTTCCTTCAAGTGCAAGTTCTTTGTGGTTTATTTAACAAGATTTTTTTTTTCTTGTTCACTAAGCTTCTTCACTTTGTGTTTAATGTCCACAATCCAATGCTTTTCCATGTTTATTTTGCTGCTTTCCCCCCCTACTGAGCATGGGCCAGTGTTCCATGGAGGTGGAAGTGCTGCAGCCCTTGTCAGGATCCTGTACAGCACTCAAAGGACTGTCCTGCTCTGCAGTGCAGTGGCTTGAGCGATCTTGAGATCATTCCTTCACGATCTGTTATGGAAGGTGTAAATCTCTAAGAATTGGTTTGAAATATAAATCTTGCAAATGTTATTTCTATAGCTATGACACATAACTTCATCAGACAACTTATTTTTTGTTTCTATCCATTCACATGGGTTTGCTTTAAAGCTAAATTAGGTTTATTGTCTTGTAAGGGTTATACACTCTTGGAAAAATAGAAAAAATACTAATGAACGTGAATTGGAGAGCTGGACCACCTAGTTGGGTTCTTTAATGCAAGTTCTATTAAAGTAAATCAGTAAAAGTTTTTTACTGAAATATTTAATTCTCCGGGAAATAGCGTTAACTACAGATCCTACAAAATCTGTTGCAGGTCGCTCTTCACTCTTTCCTTTTGAAGACGGCTTCCTAGACGACAGCCATGGTGATCAGTCGTTATCCTCGGGTCTCAGCTCTCCAACACGCTGTCAAAATGGGGAAAGAGTGGAACGCTATTCTAGAAAGGTGTTTGTTGGAGGTCTTCCTCCTGACATTGATGAAGGTACTGTGAATCACTTGCATTGCTGAGATGTGGGAATTGGCTTTCATACAATTGCTATTAAAAAGGTCAGATTTTCATAGAATCAAATGGATTTTCTCAGGCGTGTCTCTTACAGTGCTCGTGGTCTTACTTAGAACAAACACACACTACCACCCCCTGCAACACCTGAGAATTTACTTGATGTTCTTGGGTACTGTAGATCCAAAGAGATGGAGACACAAGTGGCTGCATAGCAGGTCTTCTGATCTGCATGTCTTCCCACGACTGTAAAGTGGGAAAGCTTAAAAAGGGAACTTGGTGGGTACTGTCTCTTCTCCATAGTCTTTTTCTATTCTTGGATGTGGTTGACTTTAAAGACTTTCTTAATGCAGTCCCTACCAAAATACCGTGGGCTTTAAATAACCAGCTCTTACACCCAGCATGTATGCAGGGTTCAGATGATAAATATAGGGTAATAATATGGTTACAAAGTAATAACCTGCTTAGCAAGGGTGGTCAGAGTTTTCTCAATTATTATCTGCTCTACTTGTGTGTGCCCCCCCCTAACCCTTACTCCCAAACTAAAATCATGACCATTTTTGGTTCAGAGCTAGAATATAGCTGGAATCTACCACTGTTTAGCTTCAATGGGCATACACAGGGAATCTGAGAATGCCATATAATGAAAAGAGGGAGATGTCTGATCTACTAATCTGAAGCCTAAACTATGTACAGTTTTAATGAAGAAATTGTATGAGTTGCCAATCTATGTTTACAGACACCTCAAATGCAGTTGCCATGTCACACCAAGAGTGGCAGGGCTGTTGTATGTGGTCTGATGGGTAATCTGGGTTTGCAGCTATAAGAAGCAGCAGCCCAACAGGGACAGCTGATGTGAACATTGCTGGGTCACTCAGAATCAAAATACATGCCCAGTCTGTCCTGTGAGGAAGTAACGTGGTCACGCTCTTTCCTGAGAGGTCTCCTTCAGTAGCCCTTTCTTCTTCAGCTCTTCAGGTACACAACATGTGTATTCTGTCTCCAGACGCTTGAAAAATCTGGCGTGCAGTTGATGGGGTCAGAGAAACTGGACACATCTCAAACAGCAGTCCAGAAACTGGAAATCCCTCCTGCCTTTTCTCCTGATGGCTTGTTACTCTGATCTATCTAACATCACATTAGACACAGTTTTAAACTAATTCTTTCTTTAAAGTACATTTAAAAATGTATCAAGAAAATAAGATTTTTTTTTCAAAAATTATTTAAAATACTTATTTACTGAAGGATTTATGTGTAAAACTATAGGATAGCTCATGATGTGTGTTACATGGTAGTTCCAAATTGATGCTTAAAAAGTGAAGAAAAAACTTGGTAATTCAAGGCAGATTTCCTGAGGGGCCTGAGGAAGGTGAAATGCCCACAGTGGCATGACCTGCTGCAGCCTCTTTCTAGGGCAGGCTGCAAGGAGCAGCCGTGCTGACATGAAGCTCCTCCGTCAGTCCCATGTGGCTGCATCTGACCCTGCTTTGTGGCTATAATTAGAAACAGACCACAGCTGAAGCATATTCACTTCTGATAGATCATGTTTGCATTTAATCCTGCTGCAGACTTCCATTAGTGGAATGTAAAATCACTTTTTTAAGCAGCCATGTACAGCACAGAGATGAAAGAATATTTAGGCGTCCTCTATGGACATTATTGCAATTTTCACTGTTCTTGTTTTGTTTTTTAAGTAAGACCTTTTTGCCTTGCCACTGTCAGTTTTTGTGTTCTCTCTAAGGTGCCTCATTTGTTTTTTTGCAGATGAGATCACTGCCAGCTTTCGTAGGTTTGGACCTCTTGTGGTGGACTGGCCTCACAAAGCTGAAAGCAAGTCATATTTTCCACCTAAAGGTAATTAGTTTAAAATACACTTAAGAAGGCTGTTCTGGTAAAAGGAAATTACATCTGCAATGTGGCAATCCACTGTAAAGCAAAGTTTTGACTCTATGGTGAATTTTCTATCTTTCATCAAGCATCTTTTCAGAAACTGTCATGAAGGGAAAAAAGTTCACAATTTGCTTATTGAAATGTGCTCCTCAGTGTGCACTTCTTCGGGACACCTTGAACCCTTGAATGATGCCTTAATTTGTACCAGCAGTAGGTAGAATGCAAGTTGCAGGTGTTTCCTAGTTGATTCTGTTGTGGTTTGCACATTGCAAAACCCATGGGAATAAGAGCTGGAAGTGACTTGGATTGGGTCCCTGGGTTGGGTGCCCAGTGCTTCACAGGGAAGTGACTCCAGTGAGTGCTGTGACCCAGGAGCCGCGATCCTGCTCAGAAGCACGAGCTCCGTGCCAGGGCTCCCCGGGCACTGGAGCACAGAGCGGGCTCTGCTCAGAGAGCACCAGGGCCACAGGGATGGGCCAGAGTGTGTGCAGGTGGGGCAACCTCTTATCGGTCAGCACAACGGTATGCAGACCTGTTCTGGCTGAGAAAGAACAGTTTATGGGAAATCTCTTTGGGAGGGTTACTTGGCTAAATCAAACTGCTCTTACTGTTCCCTGGTCTCTCTGATTTTGTACAATACATTCTGCTCTCTTTCACATCTGCCTCTTGCATGTTGTTCCTGAGTTTGCTCATGATCTGAAACAGTAGAAGGAACTTGTACACAAAATTTCTGGTCTATATGCAAAGATTTTAATTTCTCGTTGACCCTGGAAGCCCTTAATTGCTCATTAAGGCCACTGATTATTTTGGCAGAACAGTGGGCTGTTCAGTCAGTGAACTAGCTAATCCTGCAATATTTTGATAGATATATTTTGACGAAAAAACACACAAATAAAAGCCAACTTAAATTATTTGGTAGCTTAATTGCTGGAGGCGAGATAACACTGTGACAAATACTTGCCCTGTAAACAGTACTTGGGACACTTAAAATCAGAAGAGGAACCTATACATGCTTCCTCTTTCCTGTTCCATTCTCACCACTCAGCCTTGCTGTCAGCAGTTATGCAATATCTGTTCTTGAATTTAAAAGCAAGCAGCCTCAAAACCAGCAAAAAACCACCCCAAACCTCAACCACACTGCAATATTCCCAAGGACAGTTGGTAAAATGTATGCTTTTCCCTTTTTATGTTATTTTTAAAGATGTTAGGGGCCTTTATGGTTAATGAATTCTAATTGTGCCTTCACTCATAAGGTTTTTTTAAAAAAAATTAGAAAAGCCAGCTTCTCCTTGTCCTTATTATCTCTCAGTATTCTCTACTTGTTTTCCCTTTTATTATTTTTTTCCTCTTATTAATTCAGTAAGTAACTATTTGTTAAATTAACATGGGACTTCCAATTTTGATTTTTCTGTATCTGATTGTGTACTAGTTATGCCTTGACAAACTTGTAAAATATTTTTGAGTAAGATCTATTTTAGCAGAAGACAAGGGAATGCAGCCTCACTTCTATTTTTGTCATGATTCTAATATAGGAAACAGCTTTCAAAGCCCCTGCCAGTTGCCCTGAACGTCTGTCTGAAAGTGCTAAACAACAGTCAATCCCAACTGTTCCACATTTATTTATATCTGCCTTCTTAGTTATCAGTCAGGGCTGCAGCATCAGACATCCTGCATGCCTGCCTCTGACATTCGCTTTACAGTCATGGTGAGCTCCATAGGTCAAATGTACTTGATTTACTATGATCCTGTACAGGCAGCACCTACCCAGAAGACAGAATATTATTTCCAGGAGTCAAAGGGTAAAGTTTGTATGTCTGTTCTAATTTTTTCACAGATTTTTTTGTCTTTTTTTTTTTTTTTTCCAATAAAGAGTATTTACTTTTCAAACTTATTATGGAATCATTTTCATAAGCACCACAATAAAATGTCTCCAATGCTGGTTTTGATCAGAAGTTCCTTTAGACCTAAAATTTAAGTTGGTGGGCTTTGATTTTGGATTTTTTTTGTTTTACTTTCTTATTTTAAGCTGTTTTGGTGCGTTATTGGATGTTTCCTTAAAAAATGCAAAAAGAGATATTTGAAATTATGCTTTGTGCAAAATTCACTGAGACTTATTCAGCTGTCAAGTCTCATGAATTCAAATGTTTTCTCCCTTCATTTTTCTAGATTTCTTGTTGCATTTCATGTTGCATTGCTAGTTTGTAAATTCTCTGACATTTTGAATATGAGTCTTTCAAATGGAAAATATGTCCAAAAAAACAAAGGACAATTGAAATTATAGAGGAGAGAACGAGCTCGGGTTTGTATGCTAGCAATCTTGAAAGAAAGTAAGAAAAATGAATTGTTGGAATGAAGCAGGGACGATGCAGAGGCTATTCGCACATTGATAAAGCCTGACCTTCAAGGCTTCTCCCACCTCCTTGAATGTTCCCCAGAGGTAGTAAAATTGAGCCCTGCTCTTTCTGAACATATGTCATCACCTCCAGATGGACTTCAGTGTCCTTTTGATGGATGGCCTGTTCCATTACTGGAGGGTCAGACCATTGGGCAGTGTCTGGTGTTTCAGTAAGGTTCAGGATTTTTGTCTGTTTGCTTTGATAAGTGTTCACTGAAGAGGTTTGGGGCAGACAGCATCAGTAGGTGATGCCATGGCTCAGCACAGTCAGTGAAGTTTTATGCTGGAGCTGCTTCACACCATGGTTTTCTGTCTTCAGCTACATCCAGGTGATGCAACATTCCCTGCAGTCCGAAGTGAATCAATACAGATTTCCAGTATCTACTTGTTGGTATAATTTATTGAATTTTGGAATGTTTGCTATGCTGGTGCAATACATTAATTCCCTGTAGTCTCCGTGTATTAGGAGCACTCCGTAGATATTCTTAGGGCTAGGAAGAGAAGGCTGCAGAAACCATTAGCCATGGCTAATCTGATCAAGCATGAAATTGGAAAGATTAAAATGTTGCTTACAGTCTAGTGACCTCCACCACCACCCACCAGCCCCCCTGAGGGCTTTATCTGGTTAGTTTAGTGAGCGAGTCAGGCCGTAGATGTGTAGTCAGTTCCAGCAAACCTTATTAGCTAATTTATTAGTTGGTGGGGTTGATTAGCTTAGCTGCAGTGGCATGTCAGCTATCATTGGGACCAGTTGGAGTCAAGAAACATTCCTGCAGCACTGAGCTTGAGCAAAGAAGGTTTTCCTGGATTTGGCATCCTGAGCAGGATGGTGTCACCACAGGTCTGCTTAGGCATGTTATCTCATATTTAGTGCTGGGCCTCCTGGACATAAACGTTTGTATGTGAAATGATGCTCAGCTGGGATCTCCAGCATGAGGAGTAACACCAGGCTTATACCAGTGTGGTGTCAGCAGTGCAATTTGGACCCTGGAGGATGACACAGCAACACAGATGTATCTGCAACATATTCCAGGTTTTCCTGTTTTCCTGGATATTCTAGGGGGTTGTTACCCTTACTGAATCTTGCCTGACAGCACAGAATACACTGACCACTGTTTGTTACAGCAGTCTGGCTTTGTCAGCGGTTGAGTTTTGAACATTGTAACAGCAAGCCCAAAATCATTCTGTAGATCAAGCACACCTTACCTTGGTTGCCAGTGAGTTCCATATTTAGGTTGCCGAGAGATCAGGGACGCTCTTGTCACTGCAAGTGAATATTGTGCACTTGGACAAGAGAAACTGCCAACAGCTGACAATGCGTGTAAGAGGCTCCGATTCCTAGTTCTGAACATCTGCATTGTTGCCTTAACGTTTCTTTTTACCCCTCCTGTGCATTGTAAAGCTTAGCACCATGTTTTTATGTTTGTGTCATGCATGAGGTAGTTTTTAATGCTTTGCCTCTGAATAAGGCTAATTCATTCCCGTTGCCTGAGAAGTCTTTGGATTACTTCCTTTGGCATCTGTTTGGATATGTTACTAACCGAACTGGCAATATTATAAATGCCATGTGTTGGTCTTGGGTAAGCAGATGCCCAGCTCATAATGTGTTTACTTGGCTTTCACCCCAGAGTTTGGGAATTAAATGTGGTTTGTGTTAAAGTATCTTCTGAGTACCTATGAGACATTGAGAAATAAGGAAATATGTATTAAAGGATGCTAATGAAAGTAGTTGCACATTACCATTTCACAGTCTATTTATCTCTGGCAAAATCCAGATAATTCATGTTTTATTTAAATAGAAATTGATGGGGTTTTCACTTATTTGCTGGTGTGCTGAGTTAAGCAATGCTTATGCTAACTACAGTAATTTTTCCTTTCCTTTTTTTTTATTAAACAGATGGTGCCAACTGTTTCAAAAACATTTTTTTCAGTTGTTTTTTCTTTAACAGATTGCTAGCTTTAAAACAACTTTTTAAAAACACTTACTGTTTTTTTTTCCTTGTGATAACTATGATTTTTCTAGTAATCACTAAAGAACTGCACCATGTGTTTTAAAATGTCAAAAATTATGCCAAAATTTTCCTTTTTTTTTTGTTTTTTTTTTTTGTTTGTTTAGAAGGACTGGTGTTTGGATAGAGAGGAGCATTAGAGCTAGAAAATGAATCATGGCAGAGCTTGAAGATAGTATGAGTTTGGAATGGGAGGAATGCTTTGGCTTTACAGTTGATTTAGTTGTGTGATGCAGCAGTCCGATCCTTTTATGTTTTCCCTATTTTTCAGTTCATTATCCTGTTATCTGATAAAATTAAGCACATTTGTCCCTACTGCTCCATATGGGACACTAGGGTGAGGGAGATCTCATGAAAAACAAAACAAAACAGTGTAAGCAAAGTTGCACAAAGTAACACAAAATGATTCTCATGCTTTAATTTAAAAACAGTTGGTAGGACAGACAGAATGAGCCTCTCTAATTCTCTCCAAAGTACTGTTTAGATGGGAACACTGTTGTTGTAGTCTTTTGACTGATCTGGATTTCATGGATGAAGACCATTTCCGTGGTTAATTCCAT